CCTTCGTAAGATGAGGCAGGGAATTACCTCCGGACGGTTGCTGGTCAAACTAGAATGGCTATAGAAGCAGCAAAAGCGTTTCGGACGCAATATGCTTTCACACTTGAGTGTCTTACCCTTAAGTGATCTTCCAGCTTTGTTGCCCCGCCGCTGGGATTCAGCTGCATCACTTTCACTGCTGAGGTCGCTTTGCAAAAGCTGACCTGTCTACGCAGCCACAGCTCCTTGTGGGTCGATACTATTCGCCCAGAAGTACTGTGAACCGCCAAAATAATCGCTTCAAGTTCCCTACTGTTTGCTGACTACATAAAGATATAGCACAAGATTCAGGCCCATACCGGTCAGAATTCGTTTCATTGTGACCTAGCTAGGGTACATCAGTGGTCAACCCACAGTCTGCTGCAGTCCAACATCAGCACATGCATGGTACTCTCCATAGGACGCCAGAGTACATACTCCTACAGTTTAGGAACGCAGGTACCGCAGCGATCTGTCGAACGCGAACTGGGCGTACTGCTTCAGATGACTTGGGTTGTTTCCAGCAATTCGAAAAGGCATCGAAAACTGGTAAGCAACACATCGGTCTGTTGCGACGGGTATTCGAACACATCGACCTATCTATTTTCCGACAGGTACTGAGTGCACATGTTGGCACCCCCCCCCACGTCGAATACGCAATTCTAGCATGGCATTCATGGTTGAAACACGACGTTACCGCAGTAAAGCAGCCTCAAAGTCGGGTATCCAAGTACGTCATTGGAATGCGCAGTATCCCATACAAGGTGGACCCTATGGCCAATTACGGGGCGACCTAATAACGGCATACTTGGTTTTACACATTACAAACCATGTCTGCCGCTCTTGACTGCAACATAGCAGTAACGCAAACTTGTTAAATCACCCCTTAAAACTAGCTGGACAGTAAACCTACCTGGTGTACCGGATAAAATTATTTTCAATTCACCTCTGTCACATGTGGAACGTTCTCCTTGAAGCGGTAGTTTCTGCACATACACTAGCTATATTTACTAGTCGGTTGGATGACAAACTCGGCCACTTAGGTTTTGCTACTTAAAACTCTCCGTCCTACTTCCGGGAAATACCTTGGACTTATTAGTTCTTGTTTATTGGCACTTTAAAACTACTCAGATTGTAGGACCACTTCATTAAAAACTATAGATCTTTTCTTTTGATAGTAATTGCACTAACTGGACTTTTCATTGAAGTTTTTCGGTAACACACCAAACTATCTAACGGGGCTTATAAAACAGTGCCACCTAACCGGTCTACAGTAGTAGTACATTGCTCATTTTGTTTTTCGATTTTTGTCACTGCCACTTTCATCTCGTGTAGCATTATCAATCAAGTTCTTAGGTTACTTGTTTTAACGTAACCGAATCACTGACTGTATAGTTTGCTCATGCAAGGGTCGTAGTGCCACTGTAAACCAAGCATTGTTCGGTTCTAGTTACTATTGTAATATAATGCTCTGAGTTTAGCCACGGAGATGGAAATACTCGCTTGGTGGCTAAACCACTTTAGTTACAAACATAAGGATCTAGTCTGGTATGGCGAATAACTGTCTGTCACAATTGAATATCGCGTCTAACAAAACTTGAAGTCTTTGCGAACAGTTGACCGACAGTCGTGGAATAGATGTACCTTTAAAAATACCATCAACTTTACAATTATTCGTTTCTCCATTGGCAATGCTGTTTTGTTTTTACCATAGCTGCGTGTTCGAATGAAACATGCAGTGTGCATTGACCTCGAATGTACCACACGACCCGGTGCGCAGTCACTTACGGTGGAATCTGGTAACCCAAAAATGCATCGCTGAACGCAAGGTGACTGACTCCACTCATGTCCGTTAGTCAGCGTATTCTTATGCAGGTACTTTGGGATACTTCTCCTTGATGATACAAAGGAATATAACATGTCTGAACTGGTTACACTTGACCAGATGCTCACAAAGACGGTTAAGTTTAGATGTTGCCCGTCACGATACCCGATGTGCTGTAAAGATATTTTCTCCGGTAAGATTATCAGCCTCATTCGGTTTCCAATTTATTAGTGCCTGGATTACACGCGGTTCAGGACAATTTCCCCAACCCTCGGTTCTCAACTTAGTTTTCCTTCTGTTAGTCTATAAAATCTCGGTCATCCTGTTCAAGGACACGATAGTTGCAAATCATCTCGTTTATAAAGCTAGTAAGCTGTTGCATAGAGTTCGATTAGTTAGAGAATACCGAAAGTATTTACCTCACTAGGTGTGGGATGTTCTCCTCTCCCATCAACTTAATTTTGAACGTTTCCTCACAGCGCTAAGTTACGCCATCGGTACGGCCTCGATTGAATTAAGCTGCTCTTGTGTTTCTTTGCTTTTATGGTTGGCGCGGGATCATCTCAGCTTCTGGTTTTTGATCATTCTGAGAGTTTAACTCAATGACAGCAGTTCTGGGCAGTTATACTATCGCCTATGATTTGAAAAGCGTGCACTTGGACGAAGTGCCACTATTCTTCGTACGGAGTCCGTTCCAATGCGCAGTGCGTGTCCTGAAGTCGTTTTCTTAAGAAGTTATCAAGATGCTGCTTTATATTTTTGCATGACGGAATGTAAGCCTGTTATAGGCTAAACAATTACTGTTCCGCCACGCAATATTCCATAGGCTCGTGTTTCAACGCAGTTACCAATTCGGGACCTGTAGGACTAGGTGCACTTCGCCTTTCTGCATACCCACATGTTCGTTAGAAGCTGGCCCATCTACACGCTCTTTCCTTTTATGAAGTTGGCACGGGTTTTTGCTTTTCTTTCCACTTAGGCATTCGAGTTCATTCATAGTTTCTGCTGACTGATTATACCAACAGAAGTGTATTGGCATCTGGGCTCGCACGATTCTCCACTGACCTTCGAGCGGGCCTCAAACCAGGGACCACCCAGCTTTCCTGCTTGAGACGGATGCATAATTTTTTGATCTAAGCCGTCATGCTCTGAATCACTTTCACCGAGACAACTTGCTGCCATTAACCCAAAGACTTTTAGTGACTTTCGATCTTCCATGACACAATTATGGTGATCCAGCATCATTCATTTCACCGCCGATTGCTTTGGAACATTGCGTGTGAATGAACATAGCATGCTCTGGTGATTGCCTTCCAATGAGTTTTCTCTGTCAAATCGTTGCACTCTGCTGTGGTGACTTCCAGCAACAATTCTTCAAAACATCGAGACGCTGTTCCAGCTCGCTAAGCACCTTATGGAAATATTGGGGTCTGCATTGCGTAGACGAACTACAACACATTATGCTATTTTAAATTAATTACTTTGAAACGAAGCTGGTTCGCTCTGTTTGTTCTTTTCAGTCAGAGGTATGCTGAACTAGAACTCTAACCCTAGGATTAGAAACTACAAACCGATCTATTTACCACTACCCTACCGATATGCTCCAGCATAGCTTATCAAATCTGTTAGAATCAACGTTGGCTCCTTTCGAGTGTCTAACCTAACACCCGTTCTCCAGATACCGGCAGAGTACCCGAATCGACTTAGCTATACTTCGAAATAAATCGTTGTTCAAATTGAGGATACTTGTCGCAGTGCGTCCACGGCAGTACTAAGAAATACCCCTCAAAGTTGCATCCGTGTCGAGACAGCCACGGTTCAGTGGCGTAAGGGTAAACACTTGGGATTCTAGTCTTATTTTTGTGATTACTACCTCTCAAGTGCATATAAGTTTGAAATCAGTTATGGAGTCTTGTGTTGCAAGTGCGCAGTACGGTTTCCATAATCTGTCACCCACACCATCCGACTGCCCGGAATGAAGTGGGTTCACTTCGAATTAAATGGCGGTCCGTAATGAGGTCGCGTGCCGCAGGCCGTCAGCATAGTGAGGGCTTCAAATTACTCGACAGCTTATGGCGGCGAAATCGAATATTGCTTTGTGTGACTCAATCGGCTCGGGGCCGAAGAGTTCAGGTTTCTGACTTGCAATCCACAGGTCACTGATTCGAACATGCGTAGACGTGGGTGACCTCGAATTACCCCTAGGCCGCACACGCCTGAACGACGCAACAGGGCTCGTGATGCTTTTCCATCGACAACCTGTGCGATAACTAAAACCACTTATGCGTGGGACGCACTCGTCTTACTGACAGGCTTCCGTTCGTGCTTCAAATTTTGATGCTAACTGTTATTGTTATCACTTTGAATCCGTTTTCACTCCTGCACTGTGCGGATGAGTCGCATTCATCGTAAACTTGTTCACTTTATCACTGGTTCCGTGTGATTCGTCGGCTTGGTAACCTTATCAAACGTGACCTACTCAGTGCGCATTCGTCTTCGCCACTAGTAAGCTCAGATGGTTTGCTTCAACAGCATATGGTCATCAGGCTGATTCCCAATTTATGGGGACCGGTGTAAGAAACTACGGCTTTACACCCTAGCTTATCCTCGACTGCAGGTTGACCTCATCGTGAGACACCGGATATTACATCTCGCTAAATGCCCAATGTTGAGACCGCTGCTGCATCTGCGCACACCAAACAGGACACGAGGACACCGGTACAAGCTTGTAGTACCGGAGTTTAAGCCGGTCGTCCATCAATTCTGTTTTGAACGGTGAGTGGTGAATGTATGGAACAGCCTGCTGCCGCACGTACTTGAGGAAGAGTCGATGTTGTAATTTAAGAAATTCCTGGACAAACACTTTGCCGAGATAGAATATATCGAGCACACTCTAACATAACGAAGCTTCGTACCTGAGTAATATTAGCTGCAGCTACACAGAGATATCACTACTTGTTTTTTTCAACCACTAATCAATAATCACTGTTTTACAATTCTTAGTAGCCAGTAGACACAGTCCTTCCCCAAGACTTCTTTGCTACTTTCGTATGCACAATTTTCAAGCATACCTTGTACAACCCCTGCAGAGTAACCGTTCAACTTGGTAATTCGGCCATTTGTAAACTTGTTCATATCATTTAAGCAAAATAATTTTAAAGTTTATGAACTTTATTAAAAATTCGTAATAATCTTTTAGAATATTCTCTAGCTCAGATTCAGCGTAGCGTTTCTTAAGTTGGAATCTGTGCAAATTTATTGGTAGCAACTTCCCGTTTCGTTTGACCAAATGTTTTTCATTTGACTTGATGACAAGCACATCAACTTTGCCTTAAAGTCGCTTGTGTTAACTTGACTATAGATATATGATCTGACCTTGATGTATGTTCGCACATACAATGTGTTTCATCGATAAGCGCAAATAATATATTCCACTGATTTATGTGTCCAGATTTTCAGCGTTTTTTGCTCCTGATTGTTTCTGCTCCTCTGGCCTCTTTTCCTTTAGGTCTTCCTTTTCGGCTTTTCCCGCTATCATGCACGAACGATCTGGGTTAGTGTGGTTCGACTTGGCCATCGATCTGGTCAATGTGGCGTTGACTAATACTCTTGCACTGGTAAATGCCCTCTGAGCGTATTTCGCCATCGTCCACTTTCTGGCCTTACGTTTGGCCGAACGGTGCACCTGTTTCATCATGTGCAATTGATCCGCATGCTCGTAATACAGTAGAAAATGATTCACCAGAATCGGGATGGTATACGACATGAGCAACGTACCTGTTAGGACACAGACCATCGCGACCATATAACCGAATGTGTGCGATGGCACCAAATCGCCGTACCCGACTGTTGTCATGGTGATCACTGCCCACCAAAATCCAGTAGGTATATCTTGGAAGTTTTCGTCGGTGAAATAGATGGCCGCACCGAAGAACAAGGCGGATTCCAATATCAGTATGATGATAATGGCCAAGTCCAGGAAGGTAGTGCGAATCGTGTAGAGAAGCACGTGTGTTCCACGATGTCTGCGTAAGACGCGGAATAGACGGAGTACAATAAACACTTTGAGTACCACAACGTAGTTCTCCACTTCCATGAGTATACTTAACCACTCTCCGGCGTCAAAAAACACCTTGTAATAAATCATCTCATAAATAATTAACTCGCAGTAGAATGGTATCAGCGAGAGGATGTCAATCAGGGTAGTCATTGAGAACAACCATGACCGAATTGCCGGGCAAAAGACCATACGCATCAGCACATCGAGTGTGATGACGATGGAAAAGAAAATATCCATTGAAACCAGTGTTCTAATTGGAAGAGTGAATTGTGTATTATTGCTTCCGTTAATTGCTCCGTGATTGTTCCTCCAGTTTCCCGAAACATGGAAGAGTGACAGCGATTGATTCCCGACGTCTCTGTAAGTTGGGTCTTCCTGATCAATTGGCACTCGGAATGCTGCGCAGCTCGATAGCATGAAAACAATCACTGCAGCTGTTACTATTGACGTTTCAAATACCGCGTATATGCGTTTCAGCCACTCGACATACTGTGGTTCTTTGAAGGAATGAGGCTCTGTGGCTGTTTCCTTTAGCATAGAACCGAAGGGTAGAGGACTGTTGGTATCGCCCGCACCTTCTACACCGGGCTCAGCTGGTGTTTCAAGTCGTTTGTCGCCAATCTAAATTATTCTGTTAACCCCGTTGCGATCGATTTCGGCACTTACCTCAGCTTTTTCGTCACCGAAGAACTGTCCATTTACGGTGGTTATGGTATCACTCGAATCAAAGTGTATTCCCGGTTCATGATTGCCTAACCTTGGTGCAACCTCAAGAATATGCCACACTTTCGCTCGGAATGATTGCCATTTTGCTGACCTAATACGAAAAAATTCAAATTGTAGATTAGTATTACCTGGATGCATTCAGGGTGTATTACGCCAGTTTCAAGGATTTTGTGGTACAAATTACATTACCACTTTAAGCGTGACAGCCAAAAAATGTTTGAAGCTTATAAGCAACTACCGTTGGATAGTAAGTGGTGTTAACGAACAATTTTACTAAATACATAAATTTATTTGTTCTTACAAGAGTCATACAATCCGTAGATAAGTTGTGATATAATTTCCGTATTATGACTCATCACTCAACTAGTGCTTCAAACTCACCCTCCAAACAAATTGGATGATTTTCAGGTCTTGAATGTTATCACCCCCTATTGTTTAACAGAGTTCACATGTTACTTCTTTCACAGATCAGCGCCCCAGTTTTCTACAACACGTTCATTTAGTATGGCTAATTTTGTTCACGTGTTCGCAGTTACTACATGGCGAAACCCAAGAGCATTCACTGGTTGTGGATGAAGCAATAGGTAGCAAAAAAATAAGTTTCATTGTTTTCCTCATGATAAAGGAAGCGATAGTTAAAAGCATACTTCTAGAAAATCATATGTAACTTACGCCATATTCCAGTGCTGGGCTTGAAGTTTGATTTGAACAAATGTATTTCGAATATTAGGAACAGTAAATTCCCTTTAGTAACATGAAAAGCACCGCAAGAGGAGGAAGACTGCAAAACCCACGTATTTCGTAGTATCTCATCAGTGCCTTTAACAATAACTCGCAGTAGCATTTATCCAGGGCAAGGTGCGATCAAAAATGATTGGGACCATCCAGCCACAAGTCTACATAGTTGGCGGCATCCGGGTTCGGATTTGCCTGCCACTGGAGCCTCCACAGAGACAGCCACAGGACGCCTGTGTCTACCTACGGACCATGGAAGGCTTGCGTTGCACCACCCACAGCTCCATCCACACACCCCATATCCAATGTAAACCCGAAGGAATGAGACCGGGAGGCAGGTGGATGGGAACAACGTTTCATCAACGGAGCCGACCCACACTCCTTCAGAGACAAACACAAGCAAGCTCTATTTAATAATGATAATTATAATGCGTATATTGCTCTTGATGAGCGAAACTGTGTCTATAGCGGCACAGATCAATTTGTACAGAAGAATCCATGCTCTTACATGAGTGACATGCGTAGTTGGAGTGTTGGGATATGGGTTTCATGTATTAACGTTCTGTCGGATCGTTGAGGCCTAAGCCTAGTTATGAAAACATTGGTGTTTATAAATTTTTGAACCCCTCTTGGAATAGCTCATCAAGGGATTTTTCCCATATGAAAATAAAGCTTAGGGTAGTTAGGTCAAGGTAATTGACGAGTCTGCTTGTCTGCACCTTGTCCCATGATCTGAGGATTATTGGTAGTTTATTCCACAGATAGCTATATCTGACTAGGAAGAAAGTAGAGCGGACGTGCGTTCTAGCCTTCGGTATATTCAGTGTAAAATGTTTGTTCCGAAGCACTCGAGTTGAGCAATGTTGTAAATTGAGTGTACACAGGTTGGAATAGGTCTTTTGTGTTACACGTTGAAAAGCAGCAATAAGTTGGGCTTTAATCGTCCAATCTAAAGTGATTCGAGTTGAAGTTCATTGCAATCTTCTCGATAACTCATAGCAGAGTGTTTACCAATCAGGTGTTTACTAAATGACCTCTGCATGTGCTCCACTGCAATTCGGTCACTTTCTCACATTGCCGTATAGTATGCTGCAGTATTCGTGTGTGGGGCGAGTGAGTAGCTTGAAAAGCTCAACTCTAGCACAAGTTGTGTATATTTTGTTTGCTATATTGAACATAGACTGTCTGGCATATGCGACTTGGTATTGGTCCTGTTCGGAGAAATTGAAGCTAGACGAGTACCTAAGCCCAAGATCTCGAGTGGACAACTATAGGGACGCGTTCATTGTTTCAGGTGATAGATCCTTCGGGGATGCAGCAACCGTAAGATATGATGCTTGATTTCTTAATCGAGAGGTTCATCACCCATGTGCAGCACCATGACTCAAGGGAATGTAAATCATCTTGAATGAGCAGTAATGTCCCGTGAAGCTCGTCACGCCGAAGCTCATAGACTACTTTGATATCCTCAGCAAATATTATTTTGATGCACCATGTTTTACAGATGTGGTGATGTCATTGATGTAGAGCTCCCTTGAATGACTCCACCGGTGATTGAGCGGTCGGAAGAGCGATAATCACCTAAACTGACTACCTGACGACGATCACTCAGGTATGACAATAGCCAACTAAGTGATAGGTCCCGGATCCCAAAGGTCTCCAACTTTTGTAACAGCCTCTTGTGCGGTACTCGGTCGAACGCTAGGTGTAAGTCAAGAAACAAGACTACTACTGCATAGCCGGAATCAATTGATTCTGAAATGTGATTAAGGTAATGCAGTTGACAGGTAGTGCACGATCGCTTATTGAGAAAACCATGCTGCAGATTATTGATCAGGCCAGTAGAATCAACTGAGTTTATCATCTCCAATCTGACAAACTTTTCAAATAGCCGAGCGATTATCGGAGTGTGGTGGATTGGTCGGTAGTTATCTATCGTTTTTTGGACCTCCTTTATGCCGCGGCATAATAAATGACGCTTTTCATTGGTCTGGAAAGTGGCCAGATTCCAGCGATAGAGTGAACTTGCTCATCAAGAGCAATGGTATATCAGGTCCTCCTAGTTTAATGGTGGTTGGCGAAATGCCATCAGATCCCAGCTTGGAAGATGGCCTGATTGATTTGATAACTTGATGGATAGCATCGAGCGAGATATCGACTCTGCTTAAGAGGTTTGTTACTGTAAGCTCTGTGCACACAGGCACCGGGTCAGCTTCGCGACTCATGGTAGTGGCAAAAATGTTACTGAATGCTTCACAGATTTTAGCTGGGTGATGGAGTAAGTGGCCCCAACCATCGACGATTTTTCTAATCAGAGAAGAGCAGTCACTAGTTCTATGATGCAGTATTTTGACCAGCTTCCTAGCTTTGCAGCTTGTCCGTAGGGCTGTATATTCCTCATTTTTTCGTCGTGTTAATTGCGTGTTTGACTCTGGTGGTAAATTCATGCATTTGTAAGACAAGTGAAAAGGCATGGGTCCTTCTGTATCTTGCAGTTAGCTTTTTGGTTTTTTTGCTGATTAAGTGCTGGATGCAATCTTTGGAGACATGAGGGGTATGAATACATTGTAGTGCAAGGGGGCTATGGCGTGATGGATTTGTTTATAGAACTGCTCCACAGCGGTGTACACACTGGTAGAGAGGAAAAATGCATCCCAGTCGGAGAAACGAATGAACTGCTGAAAGCATTCCCAGTTTATCTTATGGGTTGCAACTGGCGGTGTAGTGGAGAGTTTAGTGACCATTTTAATTTAGAAGCTGAGTCGGATCATGTTATGGTGGCTGCCAGGGAGATTGTTTAAGATCTCGGTCTGTGGATTGGGTATGCCCAATGTGGATATTAAGTCCAATACACTGACCGACCTGATTGAACTGGTGATCCACTGTGTTCAGCCTCCAGCTCTAATGGAAAGAAGAAAAGAGGCGTGCAATGTAGACGTTGGGTGGGATGACCAGCGTATTTTCGGTAGGTTGAAATCGCCGACCATAATCTTCTGGCTGTGTGGCAATTCTGATGCGAAGTCAAATGCAAAAGTGATGTTGGTGATACTTACGTTAGACGCATTCGGTGGGTTGAAGATACATGAGCGCGGCATGTAAGATGAGACACCTGCAACTGACAGTCAAATAGATTCAGGGATGTTTTCCAATTGTGAGTGGTGTATAGGTTTGGCTGTTAATGTTTCGCGTAGGTATATAATACACCCTCCACCTTTTCTGTCGCAGCGATCTTTTCGAATATGTGTTAGTTTGCAATCATCAGAGTAGAGTCAAGTGTATCTGAAGAACACCACGTTTCAATGACGAGGAAGACTTGTGGGTCGTTGAACTATGTAAGTGTGTGTATAAAATGAAGTTTGTTGATTATAGATCTGACATTAATCAGAATCACTAAAAAATGTACTCCGTATTGGGAAATGATCGCTGTCCGTTGTATGATCATCTGAATCTTTGCGTTCTCGCATGGTGCATATAGTAGGTAAGTGCGAGTATGATTGGCCCGAGTTAGCCGTTAGTACGTTCGCTTGTAAAGGGTAACATGTCATGCGTGGATATCCAGACAGTTGGGGTAGGACTGGAACCGAGGCATCATGCTTAAGTTGCCGTTGGTTTGACGATGGACTAGCCTTGTCATCTGGACAAATTGGAGGAAGAGTGGGATCAAGGTGTTGACCTCCGCCGGATGTATCTGCCATGGGAATGGGTGCGAGTCCATTCCCATCGCCGCTAAAAATGGTTGTTGCAAGGGGCCCCTTGAGCGATGGAAGAAACATGGAAAAGTGTGGGTGGTAACATAGTCCTACTGGTCGATGTTCTTCCATTATCTGTGCACTTCCAGTGATTGTTGTGGAGTGTAGGATGGTAATTAGGCGTAGCAAAGCGACAGTTCTTATTGGTCTTATTCACTGCGGAAGGTTGTTTGCTTTGGTGGTTGTAGGAGGTTGGTTAATAGGGAATTTTGGGTGCCACCGAGTATTTAGTAGCTATATGTTTTTCAAAGACACAGGTCGCTGGATTGGAGAACTCCTCCTTGGGCGACAGTGGACTATGAATGACATCAGGTTGTCTATCCTTGGACGTGTTTTGTTGGTTTGGACCGGGTTGTGATATATTTAACAAGTTGTCATTACTCCATTGTTCTAAGCAATTAAATTCTCCTTTAATCCTTGTGTATGAGGAGTTCGGTATAATGTGTGTTGTTGTCAGGAATAGAAGAACCCGATTTATCCGTTCCCTGTGTAGAGAGTGTTCCAGTGGAACCAAGCAAGGCAGCTTTGGAGCTAGTTGACACCGTTCTTGCATTATCGATGTCTAAATCAATGCATCTACTATCCACCTTGGATGCACAAGTCTTCT